ATGTTTACGCTTCTCGGCACAAGTGATCTTGTATTCGTTCTTGCTGCCGCTGGAGCGGCCAGTGCGCATTGGGTGGCCTGATGGAACAGAGCTGTCAGAGCCTTGAGTATGGCCAAATTTGGCAGAATTGTCAGAGCGACTTCAGAAGCTCTCTGTGCACTTAGACAGACCTCCACAGTTACCAGAATATTCACGTCAGACCTTGGGCTCGACGTAAGACTTTATAGTGAATCCCTTAGCGGCACATGTAATTTCTTCATTGTAAGACTTGGCGCTAACTGCAACAGCAACAGCGGCTATGGTGAAAATGGTTGAGAACTTCATGTCGTCTTATTTTCTTTTCTTGTTTTAAAACTGGTCGACACTACGCATTCCTGGTGACTTTTATACTGCCGGATGTCGTCCGATCTGATTGAAGTTTATTACCCAGATTGATCACTTTTAGCTCAGGGCCTCAGCCCGCCTCATGCCATGTGCAAACGAATTTCTATGGTCCCCGGAAATCAATACACTTACCAAAACCAGACAAATAAGAATTAGGTACATACAGATAGTCCAATGCATCCATATTGGATACCACAAAGGCACCAGGGTCCAGGGAACGGTCCACTTCGTGTACGGGGTCGATTGTATTTGGCAGTCTTTCAAAGTTCTGTATACGCCAGCTCCCGAGACTCGAGAGAGAAGTCGACATATCTGATATGAATATCAAATACGAGTATGTTTGGAACAGGAGAAATACTGAACAGCTACCCCAAATATTGAAATAGGGCCTTGTAGCTACTAGCTAGGAATAAGAAAAAATCCTATACAACTGTTAACTGTGTCCGTGGGAAGTGGAGCAGACTTGTGGGGTCCCACCGTCCGTGAAAAAGTCGATATTCGTGTGTATTACATAGGGAGCGGTTGTCCAATGGAATGACTGGTTCTAATTGTATTTCAATAGCCTACAAATAAAAGACAATATTATACCATTGCCAGAGTATCAGATACTACTCCAGCACTCTTCGGCTTGCTAGAAATCTAGAACTGTGTAACTTTGCTCGAAAAACAAATTAAATTCTGTTAAAAATACATAAATATAAATATAAATACAAAACTAAAATACAAAATTGCTGATGGCCACGCCGTCACGGTCTGACGACTGCTGCTATACATGATGTATGGACGTTTTTAAAAAATATATAGATATAAACAAGAGAGGTAAAAAGTTTTAAAAAAACTAAATACAGTCACACCTCTTTATATACCTCTATATATGCACACTTTTCTTTTGGGCCGACCTGGCCCCCTTTTGGGGCCCTGGAACTAAGGCGGTACCAAATCGATTTTTGTTTCTGCTAACATTTCCCCGAAAAAAAAGTAGGAGGCAGGCGCCGCCAGTTCATACCAAACCAGATATAATATTTCCAAGAAAAAAAACAGAAATTGGGTTTGAGTCCAAAAACCCTAACAGTAATTTCGGGCCTATACCAAATTCAGTAGTGAGGGGTTTGTATCGAATTCGATCGGTTACTGCTTGTCTACAGATAATTGCAAGCCACCAAATGTGCATCGTATGGGGTAAATGAAGCGTCAGATAAAATAGTGAAGAGACTGTCTAAAAGTAATAAAAAGAAGGTGTACAATCAATTTAAAGGTGTGTGCCGTTCAAGCAAAGAGGATTAATCTAACAAACGACGAGGAAGGTATCGTCGTGCGCACTATCAAAAAGAGTGGATATGACTTGAGCAAGCCATGGAGAGAGAACTATAAAAGTGATTTAGCAAAAGAAGCCGTATAAGCTGCACTTACAACATATGGTATAAGTATAAAAACTATACAGAGGTTTATGATCTCTGGAGAGTAAATTATTAGTCTGTCTAACGAAGTGCATGCAAAAAGGAAATATCGTGAGGGAAAGGGTACACTATAGTATCAGCTCCATCTGCCCTATGCACCTCACAGGTAGTACCTGACCCAGATATGTCCACCTCTACATATGTACAATTTGTGACCCTCAGCGGAACCTGGACATATATAGAGGTATGACTATATTTAATTCTATTTTTTAAAAGACAAGAAGTAAAAATGTATTTATAGTACCATCTTTATAGATATCAGTTATATTAAAATCTCATTTTAGCACAACTCTGTGTCTGTACGCTGAGTCTGTGCTGGTCTGTTCTGTGAGCCTGTGTCATATGTGTCCTTCTGACGACTGTATAAATATATTTACTTAAAAATAAAATACTGTATGTGAATATTTCGGTTCGTCTATTTTGATTTTGTTAAAAAGAACAAAATACATCCACCAAACGTAGTAAATAATTTTGTTTTAAAATGAATCACTCGTTGATTGTTAAAAAAACAGATTTTTAATTTTTTTTTTACATTAGCCCGGAATGAATATTTATTTTTAAATATGTTTTTACAATTTCCATCATAAATATTTTGTTGAATATAAAAAATAGTAATAGTATTTATTTAGGCATGTGCATTTTCATTTTGTTTTATAAAAACAATATGTACATATTAAAGAGCAAAACAAACATACTATTTTTTAAAAACAAAAGTAAATAGCAATTGCCGCCCTGAGCTCTATACGTTTTGCCTATATGCGATAAACTTTAAACGTAAACGCAAAAGGCTTTGTTTTTTAAGCGTTTTAAAGTATATCGGGGGCAAGTCGACCATATATTTTCTCCAAATTTGCACCTGATAAATTGACCTTCTTTTATGGAAAAGCGATTTGAAACTATTCACAGTACCTATTTGTAAACCAATAGAACTATATTTAGGATTAACTTTTAACGTAAACGCTTATTATTTTGATTATTTTACGTTTTATAGGGAAACGTAATGAGGTTAGTCGCCGCCTCATCCAAAAAAAAATGGATGTTTTTAGTTTTTAGTTTAGAACAAAAAGGTTCATATTTGTTTTTAAAAAACCATATGTACAAAACAACTATCTGATATATATTTCGACAATAGTTGGACTAAAATATACGTAGAAAAAGTAAAAAATTACAGGGGATGTTTTTGTTTTGCTTTTATTTTTATTTTATACCAAAACAAGCAAAACAATCTAATAAAGAATGTATGCACATGTGGTCTAATTTCCAGGTTCTCGCCCCCGGAGTGACTTTGGCCTATATGAAGTCTGGGTATACCCCTTCGCGAGACATTATAAAAAACAATGTAAATGTTGTACAAAGAGAAACGACAGGCGCATACATCTATTGCGTATTTCCAATATTCATATGACACATGGCATGGCGCCCGCCATACAAAGTATCTCGCGTATTAGACTAGTAGTAGAGTATAGGTTGTAAAAAGTATGCATTGGACAACATTCTGCAGTATAAAAGCAACTAATAATGAGCATCAACAATCAGTTTAAAACTACAAGGAAAAGCATAAAAGGCAACATGAAGTTTTCTACCGTTTTCATCATAGCCGCTGTTGCTGTTGCAGTTAGCGCCAAGTCTTACAATCAAGAAATTACATGTGCTGCTAAGGGATTCACTGGAAAGTCTTACGACGAGCCCAAGGTCTGCTGTGAATATTCTGGTAACTGTGGAGGTCTCTCTAAGTGCACAGAGAGCTTCTGCAGTCGCTCTGACAATTCTGACAAAATTGACCATCCTCAAGGCTCTGACAGCTCTGTTCCATCTGGCCACTCAAAGCGCTCTGGCCGCTCCAGTAGCAGTAAGAACGAATACAAGATCACTTGCGCCGGGAAGCGTAAGCGC